GATGACAAGGGCGATTGTGTTATTGTGAATCTTAGGGACAGCGGCGCTCTCTGTTGCGTCCCCGGCGGGCGAATCCGGTGACGCAGACGGATGCGTTGTTGACTGGCGATGACTAATGCTTGCCTGACCGGTTAGAGACTCAACACTTCGTCAGAAGACACACCACCGAAACTCCAGCTGCATACGAATGTACTGTAGCAACTGTATCAACACGCAGACTGTCCTCTGTTTCAGATCTCTGTTTTACACCGTCGCGCTCCGTTTGAATGGGACCACAGCGGCTGGTGTGCGACATCAGCCGTGTCAGTCGAGTGGTGTTCATTGTCGGATCGCATCATACATGAAGTCGACACGGCGGGTGTCGTATCAAACCACCGCGGAACCGTGTGGTGCTCAAGATGTCACTGGAACGGCCATCTGACCGTGTATCATACAGCGTCCGAGGGTATCCGACGCAGCTACAGCGTCCGGTGACCGGACAATAGAATGGACGGTGCCGGGGACACGAACAACACGCAGGTGTCATCTAACAGAGCAGCACGCCCCAGACCGACGTCCGGCCTCTCAGAATCAAGGACACGGTGCGTGCAAGGCCGCAACCACCATCCGCCATCCACTGCCGCCCACAGCTACTATCCGCCACCGCCCACTGCCATCCGCCGCCGCGGTCCAATCACGGTCCGCCCTGTTCTGATATACCCCCCCCCCCCCGGACGTGGCAGTGCTCCCTCTCCGAGGTGTGGGGGAGGATGGTATAGGGATGGTATCTCAGAGTTTGGCGGCAGTGCGCTCTCCTTCGGAATGTCCGGATATGTATCAGTGATGGAGCAGGTCAACGGCCACGGCCGAGACAACAACACCACCAAACAAACGGAAAAGGCCAGTCATCGGGCGTGCTCTCGGGACGCCAGCAGCACACCCACGGCGAAGCAGTATCTCGACAGATGATCAAAACATCGTTTGAGATCCTATAGTGTTACAGCTGACAGCTACTTTATATCAAAAGGTTCCGAAACCAAGGGTGAGACTGTACGTTTGACCATGGTAGGCAGAGCTTGAAAACATGGTTTAAATGCCACCCGCCTTACATATTGTTAGATGCTAGCGGTGATTTGGACAGTGGTTTTATGGGTGGTCTCCCGAAGTTTCGACGATGTGTGGCCATCGGCAACAACCATCAACTAAAATATGAAGCATTTTGTTTTGTAAAATTTGGGCATTTTGGACTTCCTATAAAGACGTTAGCAGCATCTACGATGTAGGTCTACGGACTACAGCTTGCAGGTCGTGTAATAAAAACCGTATGAACCCTCAACCATCGTTTCTCGGCACTTACCAGCTCGTCTCTGAGACCTAACTACCCATGATACCTCCCCCACAGCATCCTCACATCATTTGTCTGCCTTCCTCACATCGCGTCTCGAGAACAGTTCACGTTCCGTCTGCAGCAAATGCCGGCGGTTTGCCACAGAGGAACAGCGCCATAATTTAGGTCAAGTGCCAGTCGGGCCTTCGCCGTCCGCACGGGCAGGAGACAGGCGTTCATTATTGAACGGAGGGTCGTCCGTTCTCCCACGGCCTAGACGCTAGACCCGGGAGTCGGGTCGGTTAGGGTCACAGGATAGGTCACAGGATGGGGCACACAGGATAATATAGGTCACAGCAGGACGGGTCACAGGACAGGTCACGGAATAGGACAAGAGACAAGCTCCGGAAAGCATCACGAGACAAGTTACAGGACAGGGCAAGAAACCTGCTACAGGACGAGGCACAGGACTGGTCACTGGTCGGGACACGGGAGAGGACAGGGGACGACGGGTAACGGAATGGGGAAACGGGCTAGGGTACGAGATGACGGATGAGAGGAGTCGTAAGACGGGTCACAGAACAGATTAGATTAAAGAGTGGGTCACGAGACAAGTTGCAGGATAGGTCACCCACAGGATGGGCCACGAGATGTAACGGGTTGCAAACAAGTCATGTGTTTGTGAAACGGCAGTTATAGCTACACAAAGAACAGCTCCGTCCGATGGTGGTCACAGAACGATGATATGGTTTCTGACCACTGGCACTGACCATACGCTCTCTACATACAAAACACTCCGTTTTCTTATCTTCACGCGCGCAGCTCCATCGTCATTCTCTTAGCCTGTCATTCTCATTCTCCCCACCATCGCCACGGCCGCGTCGTAATTGCGGCCAGCGCACAGAGCCTGGCACGCGCCATATATGGGCTGGCGGAGAGCGTCGCGACCTTGTCCGGGGTCAGCACCCCCCCCCCTAATCCCTCCCCCTCGGCAGCCTCTGTGCGCCGCGCCCAATACGGACGTGATGGCGCCATCAGGGCGGCGTCAGTCCTCTCTGGAGGAGGACATCTCTAGTCCTGTGATGAGGACACCGCTCAGTGCATGTGTATGAGGCGTCTGACTTTGGGCGACGCCCAGCACAGCTGTGAGAACCAGTGGAGTCATGCTCGTTGGTAGCCGGGGTTGTTGCTTTGGAAAGAGGACGGCCGTCGAAATACAGAGATAGGCCAGAGCACCTCAGGTGACCGTGTCATAAAAGGACAATTTTTTAGAAGACAAAAATCTGACCCAGCGTGATATAAGCAGTGTTTTGATTAATGAATGTGGTGTTGAAGGCTTATATTTCATTGTGGAATGCTTTTACCTATTGGAACAGACGAGTTCGAGTTGATGGGTTATAAAGTAAATTGAACCACGCCCCTTTGCTATTTTCAGCCACTCCCTCATCTCTCCACACCAAGGAGCACGCAGTATGTATGTTCAATGTTCATTGGCATCCTTCTGCAGCCTGTGACCTGCGCTGACCCGAGGTCAGCCTGCGTCCCTCCCTCTGTTCACTTTCACTGGCGTGTGCGCGGTGCGCGCGGAGCTGTATCTTCGGGTGCCTCCGGTCCGCACCGCTCCGATCTGGAGGCGGCGGCGGACATAGCCGCGCGAGCGTCGATGTCGCAACGCACCGAGACGGCGGGGGCAACAACAAGCTGTTGGGATGATGGACGACCGTTGGCAGCGGCCTGCCCGCGGAGGGGTCGGCGATGGTCCACCGTCAGCCCGGTCGGAGGGTCGGGGACGCCGCACACTGCGAGTCTGCTACCACTGTGTCTGAGGTCAGTGCCGGCAAACGGTGGGCGAAGATGGACACTTGGAGATAAAACGGCGATTTACGATGGGATTGCTGATTCAATGCTGGTATTCCTGCACAGAAAGGACTACTCTCAAAGGCAATATTGATCACGGAGATACATATCTGAAGTGCTTGAATACTGTGGCATACCTGCGCCGGTCAAAGGCACCAGGGCATGCCACGCATTACAACAAGAATGCAGCCAACTGACCAGTGACCTCAGCGGCCTCGTGGCACAGGCCTCCCCTTGACCTCCACCAGCCATCTTCGAGCTACAACAGGTTGTAAATATACCTATACATCATTTGTCCTGTGGGGCATCTCATACGAAATCTGATGTCGAAAGGGCGTTCCAGACCCGTGAGAGAGGCCAACCTGCTCCATCCGGCGATATTCGAGTCATTAATTTGAGTCACCGGCCGGCGTATAGACCCCACGCCGAGTCCCGTGGAGTCCGGACTCGGTCCGACTCCGTGCTGGGCCGCTCGCCGGGAGGTCCGGAGCTGGTGAATGAGCCGCGGAGCTCTGACAGGTCACACCCCGTCCCCCGCCCCTACCGAGATATCTCACTGTCTGCTCATCCACACAGGCCGCCCACCGGGTCAGACTGAGACGCCCACCAGTTCTGAACCACGACTGATCTGGGGTGATCTCTTCCGGCACGGCGTATTCAGAATTGATGCCCAAACGGCTGAGAATAGCAGCGGACCCGCTAGGTTCAGCGGAGGAGCGCTAGTATCTGAGGATGACCTGTCTGCCTGTCCAGGGCGCGCAGTTGTCCGTTAGATCTTTGCTCTGTGTGCGGTGAGCAGGCACGGCCCGAGTTTCGACGGCTGGAGAGGTGACCTCAGAGGTCCTTCCAATTCAGCTCAGCAGTCCATCAGCACCAGCTCAGCACCCTGGGAAGCCCCGCAGCGTCAGCCCGGTTCTAACCGTCAGCCAGCGCCGCCCTGTTGAGCTGCTGATCGCTCTTTATGGCCTTATTAATCGCCGCATCAAACACCCGACACCATTAATGTCTCAGCCAATCTCGGTCTGCTCGGGCCTAATAGCCAGTGAATAAGCATGAGTTCTCTCAAGGCCGTTTATGGCCACAAATCGATACTGGAACGCAACGTTGAGATGAAGTAAGCCTCGTCTATCATGTATATCGCAATATCTAATATGCATGTAAACCAGCTGATGCTTTTACTGCTTATTGCTACTTCCCAATGATCTTCATTGGGATCAATGATCAATGATCAATTTTTGCGTAAAATGTAGGTACGCCAGTGGTCGTAACCTTGATAACCGCCAAGTGACTGATGTCTGCACGAAACACAGCCGAAAGTCGGTTCATTTCGGAACGTAACGTAAGGAAGGTAGAATAGAGTGGTATCATGATTTAGGCATATCCGAAGATAAAGAGAGAAAGAGAGCGAGAGGAAGAAGAGAGAGAGAGAGAGAGAGAGAGAGAGAGAGAGAGAGAGAGAGAGAGAGAGAGAGAGAAAGAGAGGGAGAGAGAGAGAGAAGGGGGATTAGAGAGAAAGAGAGAAGAGTGGATGCTAGATGCTATCTACCTACATCAAACACGTCAGTTCCTCGTCAGGTATAAAAGTGTGGACAGCCCAGCCACTAATTACAATTCTCCACGGTTATGTTAATATGTTGGCGTCACTTAAAGCCAACACACGTCAAGAGGCTCGATAGACACATTAATTCCAAGCTCAATGTGTGGTCCTTCTTGAACTAGTGCCATTTTCCCAGACATTCCATCAGAAACGTGAGACGCTCCAACACGCCCTTGACATCCAACACAGCCCAAGGAGTTAATATGGGGTGAGTGCCATCAAAGGTCTGTCTCTACTCACCGTTTCGCTGGCGCTGGCTACCGCGGTGTCTTCTCTCTGGATCGGAAGAACCCGGCTGGTCGCGCGTCCTTCGGCATGCTGACAGAGCGTGTTACCGGCTGCCGCTTCCTGACCGGTCGCCCATGCGGCTCGTCCAGCTGAGAGTCACGGGAGTCCCGCCGGACGCGCTGTGGCGGCCGAGGCGGTCTCCCGTTAGCCTGGCCGGTCTGGTTCTCATAGACGATCTCCTTCTCTCGCGTGTTCTTGGGTCTGAAGGGCGCCACCAGAGAGAAGGACCTGGCGACTTTGCGGCGCTCGCGGGCCGGCAGCGGCGCGGCCAGGTTGGCACGGCTGCCGGTGGCGGCGGTCTGCTCCAGTGCCGATGGCGGTGGGATGTCAGCCACGGTGGTGGCATGCAGGAACACGGAGCGGCCTGAACCGGCGCTCACTCGACTCGCCACCGGGCCGTCGCTGCTGTTGGCAGAGGAAGGCAGACTGTGAGCGGCAGCCGTCGATCCGCCGCCGCTGGGCCGTCGCACCGGCCGGCGACCTCCCTCACCCCCCGATGTACCGTCGCTCTCTCCAAAGTACCGCTGGGAGAAGCTCGGGGTACGTCCCGGGGGTCTCCGCGGCACCTCCCTGGCCACTGACTCTCTTGGAGCGGGCTCACGGCTGCCGGAGCGGCTGTCTCGGCTGGCTGAGCGAGCCTGACGGCGCAGAGGAGGCCGCGGACCCGGCTGACTGGGAGCGCGAGCCACAGGCCGGGTGGAGCTTCCTCCACTCTCCGTGCTAGCGGTGCGCCGTGCCTCTGGGTGACGCCGCGACTTGAAGTCCAGACGGCTGAGGGTCGAAGAGAGCCAGCCGCGCTTCTTGGGCTTTTCGACACGCTCCGGGGAAGTCGAACGTTCCCGGGAGGAGTGGCGAACTCGGTCGTCCTCGCGAGAGGAATGCCGCACTCGGTCGTCCTCGCTCGAAAGCGAGCTGCGCTGCCGATCCTAGAAAGGAGAGCAGAGATTTGTGGTCAGAGGAAGAGTGGATAGAAGGGCGGGTATGTGGGAGAAACAACCTCTCCAGATACATGACTTTTTTGTCTACACCTTAATTTTCAATCGCTTACCAGCGTAATAAACGCACCAATTTATAACAAAAACATATGTTTGATTATATTTGGAAACGCTAGCGCACATACGTACAAATGTGTCTAGAACCGCCTATGTTGTATACCTATGTTGATATATTTAGATTCTATTGACACAACTTTATTATTAGCTAATGCTTTGTTATTTGATTTTTTTATTATAAAAAGGTTTTAATGAATCGTATGCCAAAACATTTATGTGTGTGGTGTGCAATAAATACGTTGCTGTCGTGTTTTTGTCGGCCCCACCTAAGCTCTTAGTTATATGGGCGGCTGGAGCACCCAACATTGTTAGTGCGGGTTCAGCGAAGGTCACATTGAATGGGATTCGGTTT